TATAGATCCAGCTCATTTTTATAAAATAGGAACATATTCCCTGATATGAATGGACCTTAATTTATTCAGCTACTTGCCAATAGATGCATTCAAGTTGTTTTTAATTTTGTTTTTATAATATTGCTGCAGTGAATATCCTCCAACTGATGCTTTTATTTCTGCCAGGCAGATTCACAAACGTATGGTTATAAAGCCAGGATGATGTCTGTTTTATAATTCGTTAGGTTACGTATATGCATAAACAGAAGAGCAAAGCCGTTCCATCTCACCTCTGAGAACATATGTCCCCTGTACCTACTTCAGCATTGGATGTTGTCATAAACATTTGCTGATGTGTGAGGAGGAAAATGATAGCCGTGTTAGTGCACCTTTCTTTACTATTAATAAGGTTGAAACTCTGCATATCTTTATTGGCCATTTGTGTTCTTCTTTCATAATTTGCCTCCCCCCAGCCCCCGGTTTTATTGAGATGTAGTTGACATATAATGTAATTTGCCTTTTTTTTTTTTTAAAGATTTTATTTATTTATTTGAGAGAGAGAGAATGAGAGATAGAGAGCATGAAAGGGAAGAGGGTCAGAGAGAGAAGCAGACTCCCTGCCGAGCAGGGAGCCCGATGCGGGACTCGATCCCGGGACTCCAGGATCATGACCTGAGCTGAAGGCAGTCGCTTAACCAACTGAGCCACCCAGGCGCCCCGTAATTTGCCTTTTTTATTTCAAAACCAACCTGGTACACTTTTAGAACATTTTACATAATATGTGTTGGTCTAGTCAAATTCTGTTATGCAAGTATATTAAGATCATATTGTTTTGGTGATTTCTTCATCACCAGTATTGATTATCAAGAGTTAAATTTTTGATGTTTTAGGACAAAATAGATTGTTTTGTTCAACATGGGTTCATAAATATAATCACAGCAAATAAATGAGTATACTCTGAATAAAGGGTAATAAGATAATTGTTAACATACACATTTTTTATTTTTTTTAAAGATTTTATTTATTTATTTGACATGGGGAAGGGGGAGAGCAAGCACAAGCAGGGGGAGCAGCAGGCAGAGGGAGAAGCAGGCTCCCCGCTAAGCAAGGAGCCTGATGTGGGGCTCGATTCCAGGACGTGAGCCAAAGGCAGCCACTAACCGACTGAGCCACCGAGGCACCCAACATACACATTTTTTAAACTGTTTCTGAGAATAGAACAAAAATATTATGTACTTACTGACTTGAATATATAATTTTGCAGATCTTATGTAAATTTTTAAGAAGTATTTTTTATTTCAGATATTTGATGGAACTACCATTTTACACTAGCTTCCTTTTTATATTTGTTCATGTTTATCTACTGCTCATTCTCAACAGCTCATACCTTTGCGCTGCCAGGCATCACTCGGCCACTGTGACCATTAGGTAAAAATCACACTTACTGCACACGGCTGCTCAGAGACCCTGGGAATGGTGTTGCATGAAGAACTCTCCCTGAAGTGAGAAACTTCTCTAATGACATACATAGTTATTTCACATGGATCCTGAAAAAAAAAAAAAAAAAGATGTGGTGAATGCAGGTCAAAAGATGTCCCTGCTGTTTGGGAAGGGAGGAGCCACTGAGCAGCCAAGTTCCCTCTGCACCTCAGAGCGTCCCTGCCTCCTGGGGGCTTTCTGGTTCATGACAGGAGCTACAGATACCCTCGCCCCTGTCCAGGGAAGTTCTGTAGAAAGTTGGATGGAAACCTCTCCCACGGGTCTGTTAATGTAACTAAAACTGGCTGACAGCCTAGACTTTGAAAAGACTTCTGCAAACACTGAAGGGAATGGACACAGGGTCCAGGCATCTTGTTTACCTAGGAAGGCCATCTGCTCACTCCCCTGGGCTAGGGCCCCTCTTCTGAGCAGCACCCTCCACTCTCCAGTCCACAAGTGGAGAAGCTAATAGATGACTTGAGGCATACAACTAGCTCCAGCATCAGACCTCCTGGGTTCAGATCGTAGCTGTGAGTCCTTGGTCCCTCTCTGACCTCAGATGCCTTGTCTATAAAATAAGGGTCATTATGCTACCCGTTTTGTAGGATTAAAATACAAGTAAAATGCTTAGCATCGTTTCAGGGAAGCGATTAATAAATGGCGGCTACCAGTCCTTCAGCCTCTCTCCTCTGCATCTGGATCACCAGTCAGCCATACTGTTCTGCACACCACCACCCCTGTGCGGCCTCCTGCTGTCGCTCCCATCACAGCTGTCCCTCTGAAGACCTGTCTGCAGTAATGGCCGCACTTCCACCTCCTCTCCTCATTGACTGCCCTGGGCTTCTGTCACTCTATCAAAACCATGTCCTTGGGGAGGTCACAAAGGGCCTGCCCAGTGTAACGCGTGTGGTTCCCTCCCCATGTCCTCAGTCTCAGCAGTGCTGGTCAGAGCCAGGCCTTCCTTCTTCCTTGGTGACGTTGTTCCCCGCTTGTGTGTCTCCTGCCTCCTCCATCTGCAACTCTCATCTTCGTCTGCCTGTTGGCACTGCTCAGGGCATAGACCTGGGCCCTCTTCTCTCCCCACGCAGACCTCTCTCCCTTGGAGTTCTGCACTCTCATGCCACTCCATGCTGGCTGATGGTTCCTTAATGGAGATCTTTAGCCCAGGCCTCTCCCCAGAGCTTCCAACTTGGATATTCAAGGACCTATTTTATCCCTCTTTTTGAGTGCGCCTCAGACATTCTAAATTCATACACCCAAACTGAGCTCTTAGTAAATCCTTCACAGATCTTATTTTTCCATCTTTCCATCCAGCTCAGTTGCTCAAGAAACCTGAGCAGCCTTGTTTCCTACCTCACCTTCACCACCTCTCATCAAATTCATTGCCAGTTCCTCTTGATGTTACTGCTGAAGTACATGCCAGTACCGTTCACTCCTCCACTGCTGCCCGGGTCACGCCAGCACCAGCCCCCCTGGGCTCCTGAGCTCCCCACACCCATTCTAGGCCCACACTCCATTCTTCCTGCTGTAGTCGGACTGACCTTTGACTGCAAACCGCGTCCTGGCAGTCCTCTGTATAATGTCCTTTGGACCAGAATAATCACTGAATAGAATCCCAGAGCCTTACAGGCCACCTTACCTTCGCTCTCTGGGGCTTCTCTCTCCGTCTGACCTTGCTCTTCCCTGTCTCAGGACCCTCATGGCTGCCATTCCCTTGGCTGAAATGCCCTTCTGGTTACTCTTCACCTAGCTAATCTCAACTCAGCTGGAGAGGCCATCCTGACCACCCAGTCTCAGTTGGGCCCCTTCTGTTACTCTCTTTTACCTCAGCCTGCCCTTTTCCTTCATTGCCTTTTTCTCAGTCTAGTATGTGTATGTGTACCTCCCACTGGGCCCCAAGTGGTAGGGGTACAGACTAGGTCTGTTTTGTTCCCACTTGTTTGGCCTGCACCTGGCACTTTGAATGCCTCACAGGAAGTGCTCCTCTTCCTTGCATGGATGCCCACCAGCTCCTTGCCATCCAGGATGATAGGGGAGGGGGCATGGGGCTTGCAGCCCAAAGCACCAGTGGCACAAGAGAGGACATCCATAGCATGGCCCCCAGATGGGCCAGGTGATGCAAGAGGGGGGGCACCGTGGCAGTTCTTCTTTGCCAGGTGTGGGGAGGGGAGGGAAGGGGGTCCTGCAAGACTTCCCAGAAGAGTTGAAGCTCAGGGTGAGAACGTGAGATGAGAAGGAGGGTCAGAGGGGGGCCTCCGTCCTGCCCTTTGTCCTGTACTCTGCCTGCTTCTGTGAGTCCTTCCGACTCTTCAGCTTTGTCTGGCCTTGCCCTAGAGTTAATCCAGGACAAAGGTCTACAGGAGGTACGCTGAGGGAGAAGAAAAAAGAGAAATCATGAGAAATTGCACTGTGACTCTGCCTATTCGTTTCCTGCCCCTGCGCCCATGCTCTGGGCTTCACACCAGCTCCTGCAGAGAAGTGGCCCAGAAGCCGTGGTGAAGGGAAAGCCCTGAAGGGGTTTTTGGCTAAGAGGGAGGCTTTGTGCCCTCAGCTTTTGTTTTTCTTAGTAAAGGCAGTAAAATCTTTGGCAGAACCTGGCAAGTACTCTGATGTCTGTGATACCACAGGTGAAGGGAGGGAGGTCTTGGAAAAGCTAGGCTGAAAGGAGAAAGAGAAGTCTCCCCAGGCCAAAACAGGCCCAGTGTTCACAGGGAGGAGCCACCAGTGGCTCAGAATTAGGTGTCCCTTCATGCTTCCTCCCAGGAGAGGAGGGAGAACCCCTGACTCACTGACCTGACTCAGGAGGAACCTCCACATACATTCTCCTGTGGAAACATAGCTTCACAAACTATTTGGGGCCCATAGAGTACCATGGTAGGGATCAGCTATGGATCTACCAGGCCATTACCACCATTTTTGAAATGATTACTAAAGGAAAATATTTTTTAACTTTGAAGCGACAGATTCACAAATACAGCCACTGAATATTCGCTAGATGTCAAGCATTGTGCTAATCTCTGCACATGTATTACTACTGCATTTGATCCTTCTCAGAGCACGGTGAGGGAGATAGGCCCACTTTACAGATGAGTATATTGAGGTTTAGAGTTTAAGTAACTTTCCCAAGGCCATTGAGTTAGTAGGTGGTGGCTCTGGTCTGATTACATACTTTAAATCCTTACGATGTACTTTCAAATATAACTGTTCTTAAATTCGGGACAGTATCAGTCAAGGCCTTTTTCCATCTTACTCTTTATCATTAATCTTTCCATCACTAACACTTCCGTCACTACTACTTGTTTTTCCTTTTGGTAGGCGTTTCTTTGGGCATTTCTCTGATATCTTGAGTTGAATTGGAAGCAGATTCACATTATTTTGCAAACGGACACTTGGTAAATATTCATTGATTACTGTAAATAACTGCTCTACAACCATGATGAAAAGATTCACAAACTGGACTCATTACTGCATTTTGATCTGTCTCAATCTTATTTTCTTAGTAACCCATTTCTGTTTAAAATTTTGTTTATTCTTGCTAAAAGGAAGAAGATTTCTCTCCCCATATCAGCTGTAGTCTGCCTCTGGCTTCGGCACCTTCCCAGCCTTGAAAAAGCAACACTGCATCTTTTTGATAAGCTAATCTCCAGTGAGAGAAATTTCCTGAGAAGGATCGAATGCTTTTTGAAAGATTCATTACTGGTACGTGCTGGGCTTTGATGAGGAGAAAAGTCCTTAAAGAGGATGCTGGGTATCCTCTCTTTTTGTCAAAGCAAGGGGAAATGTAAACGACAGCAGTTGGCACCTTTTAAAATAATCATATGTCTGCATTTTGGTATAGAAATACCCAGCTTAGGGGGCTTTTCTGCATAGTTGGAGCGTGTCTTGAAAACGGGGAGAGGTGTGAGATTTACTGGATCAGTGCACCTTATAGTGCACACTTACGAGAACTAATACTAAGGCACACTGTTTTAAAACTATTTCTTATTTCCACATGAAAAGTAAGTTTAAAAAAATGAAGACCTTACAAATGAGAGGAGGTATAAAACAAAATCCTGGAAGAAAGGTTAAAACACAAAAACAACTAAGAATTCTATAAGTTTTCTTTTGGTGTAAGCCTTCTAGCCTTGAACCCTCCCTCCATGTGGTGACTCGCCTGCCCTCCCTTGTACTTGGGACTTCTCAGGCCTGGGAATTTGGGGGCTCAGTGGGCCAAATGGACTGGCTTCATTACCTAAACCAGGGTCAGATGGCAGGACTCACAGGCAGTTCTCAGAACCTGACCGGTAGGGGTGTTTTCCCTTCGTGGGAGGCAACTCTGTGGAATTTATGTGCATTTTTTAAGAGCTGGAATAAAGACCAATGCACCCTGAAAAAACAAGCCAAAAACTACAGGAGGTGCCGTGCTCCCTGGGCATCTGTTTTACGAGAACCTCAGTGGTTTCTAACATGTTTTCTCATTAGCTTTTGTAACCTGGGGAACATAGGGCACAGAGATTTTCTTCCTATTGTACCGGTGGAGAAAATTAGTTCAGAGATGGTGAACGGTCAGATCTTTAGTTGGGGGCTAGGAAAAGTAGGCAGGAGAGAGTGTTCACCTCCCCACTTGAGCTGAGACTTGGAAAGGGGGGAGCTCTGAGGTTGGCTGAGTTCACACAACGCCCACCTCCCAGACACCTTCTGGTTTTTTTAATTCAGTTGGAACTTCCTGTTTTCTTTCTCTTTCATATCGGAGGCTGTGTTAGGGAATCCTGATTGAATCAGTTGCCTTCTTCCTCTGTCCCATTGTTCCTTTTAGGTCCCCATCAGCCTTCTCCCTTACTCCACAGGCTCTTGTCTGCCTTCACGTTCTGGGGCCTCCCAGGCAGCTGCGCATGGTGCTGCAGTCACCAGGAGCCGTGAACCTGTAAGCTAAGTGGCACAAATTGAACCCAGCTGGTCTGGAAGTTTACAGTGTTTGACAGGAAAAAAGGAAGGGAAGAAGATACAAAAGACTGAGTAAGCACAAGAGGTTTTTTCTTTTTAGGCAAATTACTACTTTGACCTCACCATTCAAAAGAGTTGCATAGTAAGGTGAGAAATAAGAATGCACCTTACGTAAAAATAGCTACAGTAAAATTCAAAATGAACAAAGGCTTTTAGAAGTCCCTGGCAGCCCATTCCAAACATTACCCTTAGTATCAGGTACATCTCTATTTCTAACTTAAATGTATATGGTATAATTTAATTTTCTCTAGTCCTTTCTCAGGGACAAAATAACAAGAGTTATTTCCTTGCTTTTGGGGTCCTTATTAATTTTCTTTAGGTCTTGTCCCTATAGAGAAATTCCAGTTCTGTTGGCTTTTCTGAATTGGTTTGATTCTGCAGCCTTTCTTTGGTCCTGTGGTTCTTCTCTGAACTTCTCCCATGTCCTTTTTACCTGTAGCCCTCTGGCTTGAGAGCGCTCCAGCGAGCACAGGATATCCCAGGATATGAGAGCCAGGAGGCAGTCACCCCCACTGAACACTGCACTATACAGCCTTCAGTCTCCAACTTTTATAGTTTAATGTCCCCCAGGCAGACAGCTTCGAAGTCCGTTGATCTACAGAAGTATTTATCAGACTCATGTGTGTAGGGATTCGGAGCTTCCATTATGGTTAAAGGAGGATTCCAGAGGGTGTTATTTGGTTTAATTTATTGTGGCACTGGCAGGATATGACCTCTCTATGCCTTATGGTTCAAGAAGGTAATTAGAGTACAGAGCTGCAAGCCCCTGATTGGCGTGGGCCGCTCTCCTCAGGCATCCTGGGTCTACAGTGCCAGAAAACACGGCAGGCTGTAATATGCCTGTGACGTGACTCAGTGATTACAAGGGTAACCTGAAGAGCCTGCTTCCTAATTGCATCATCTGATTCATTTATCGCAGCACAGTATCTTGGTGCAGTGACAAGGCCGAGCAGAAGTATCAGAGAGATCTCGAAGACTCGGATAGCAGGGGCCTGCTGTGTTTTCCTCCAGAAGAAACTTGATGCCTATTACATTAGAGTTGGATTCTGAGACTAATTAAAGTGTGATGGTCTACGTAACTTGTATTTTATATGGAGCACTGTTAATTATGTTTCCATCTCTTGGGACTGTCCAGAAATAGCCCTGGAAATTCTATAGTTACAAGATGTTGCAAAAACAAAAGATAAAAGTGTGGTACAGGTTGTACAAAGGGAAATGATCTCCCCAAATGTGCTTTGGTCTTTCGGGGACTTGAAAGCCTGATATTTTCTTTTCTTTTTCTTCTTCTTCTTCTTTTTTTTTTTTAAGATTTTATTTATTATTTGAGAGAGACAGAATGAGAGAGAGAGAAAGCACATGGGGGGGAGGGTCAGAGGGAGAAGCAGACTCCCTGCCGAGCAGGGAGCCCGATGCAGGACTCGATCCAGGGACTCCAGGATCATGACCTGAGCCGAAGGCAGTCGCTTAACCAACTGAGCCACCCAGGCGCCCTCTAGTTTTTTTTTTTTAATTTAAAATTTTTATTTTAATTCCAGGTAGTTAACAATACAGTATTATATTAGTTTCAGGTGTACAATATAGTGATACAACACTTCCATACATCACCTGGTGCTCATCATGATAAGTGTTCTCTTAATCCCCATCACCTGTTTCACCCCTTCCCACACCCACCTCCCCTCTTGTAACATCAGTTTGTTCTCTATAGCTAAGAGTCTCTTGTTTTGTCTCTCTTTTTCCCTTTGCTCGTTTGTTGTTTCTTAAATTCCACGTGTGAGTGAATTTAAAAGGTATTTGTCTTTCTCTGACTGGCTTATTTTGCTTAGCATTATACTCTCTAACTCCATCCATGTTGTTGCAAACAGCAAGATTTCATTCTTTTTTAAGGCTGAATGATATTCCATTGTATGTAGATCCCACATTTTTATCCATTCATCAGTCAGTGAACACTTGGGCTGCTTCCATATCTTGGCTATTGTAAATAATGCTGTTATAGTGCTCTTTTTTTAAAAAGATATTTATGTATGAAAAAAATATATAAGTAATCTACACCCAACGTAGGGCTTGAACTCACAACCCCAAGGTCAAGAGTTGTACACCCCTCCAACTGAGCCAGCCAGGTGGCCCTTGAATTGGTGTTCTTGTATTCTCTGAGTAAATACCCAGTAGTGTGATTGCTGTACCATAAGGTTGTTCTATTTTTAACTTTTTGAGGAAACTCCATACTGTTTTCCAGAGTGGCTGCACCAGTTTTCATTCCCACCAACAGTGCACAAGGGTTCCTTTTTCTCCACAACCTTGCCAACACCTTTTGTTTCTTGTGTTGTTGATTTGGACCATTATTACAGGTGTGAGGTGATATCTCATCGTGGTTTTGATTTGCATTTCCCTGACGATGAGTGATGATAAACATCTTTTCATGTGTCTGTTGCCCATCTGGATGTCATCTTTGGAGAAATGTCTGTTCATGTCTTCTGCCCATCTTAATTAGATTATTTGGTTTTTGGGGGTATTGAGTTTAATAAGTTCTTTATTTATTTTGGATACTAACCCTTTATTGGATATGGCATTGGCAAATATCTTCTTCCATTCCGTAGATTGCCTTTTCATTTTCGTTTTGTTCACTGTTCCTTTTGCTGTGCAGAAGCTTTCTATTTTGATGTAGTCCCAATAGTTTATTTTTGCTTTCATTTTCCTTGCCTCAAGAGACATACCTGGAAAGAAGTTTCATATCTGGAAAGAAGTTGCTACAGCCAATGTCAAAAAAGTTATTGCCTGTGTTCTCTTCTAGAATTTTTATGGTTTCAGGTTTCACGTTTAGGTCTTTAATCAATTTTGAATTTATTTTTGTGGATAGTGTAAGAAAGTGGTCCAGTTTCATTCTTTTGCATGTTGCTGTCCTGGTTTCCCAACACCATTTGTTGAAGAAACTTTTTCCCATTGGATATTCTTTCCTGCCTTGTTGAAGATTAATTAACCGTATAATTGTGGGGGGTTTTTTTTTCTGGATTTTCTGGATTTTCAGTTCTGTTCCATTGATCTTTATGTCTCCTTTTGTGCCAGTACCATACTGTTTTGATTACTAGAGCTTTGTAATATAGCTTGAAGTCTGGAATTGTGATGCCTCCAGCTTTGCTTTGCTTTTTTTTTTTCAAGATTGCTTTGGCTTTTTGGGGTCTTCTGTGGTTCCATACAAATTTTAGAATTGTTTGTTCTAGCTCTGTGAAAAATGCTGTTGGTATTTTATAGGGATTGCATTAAATGTGTAGATTGTAAAGCCTGGTATTTTCTATTAAGACTAAGTAATAAGGCACCAATCTAATATTACCTGAATTCTAAATGCACATATCTTTTTGACTTCTAAAATAAAAACAAGGGATGCCTGGTTGGCTCAGTTAGTTAAACGTCTGCCTTCGGCGCAGGTCACGATCCCAGGGTCCTGGGATTGAGTTCCGCATCGGGCTCCCTGCTCAGTGGGGAGCCTGCTTCTCTCTCTGCCTGCTGCTCCCCCCAGCTTGTGTGCGTGTGCTCTCTCTCTGACAAATAAATAAAATCTTTAAAATAAAATAAAAACACATTTTTGAAACCTGCTTACTTTTGAGACTCACCCTTTGGCTTCCATGGGCTGAACTGCCCCCAAGTTCATGGCTCCCTGCCACAACTTGTGGCTCCTAAATAAATGGCAGTATTAGTCTCAGTTTGTCATTTATTCTGCAGAC